ACTGTTTTGACCCCAAATAAATCATAGACCCTCAAAACTAAACCTTAATAATGGATGTCTCTTTTTATGAATGGAATGTAGTATTCCACTTATTCGACACAAAACTTTACCATTTGTGATAAAAAAAAAATGGAATGAACATTCCACTTATCCATTCCTTTTATCAATTCCATTCATGCATATTCCACTTATTCCATTATTTTTTCAATTACATTCATGTATATTCCATCAATTCTTAAAAGGCTTACCAATTAGACCCATAGTTAACTCAAATATAAATGATATATTGAATAAATAATTTTGAAAAAGTGACATTTTTGTAAAAAATTTTAAAAAGTGGAATTTTTGAAAAGTGACACTTCAAAAGTGATATTTCTAAAAAATACCCATTTTTATGTTTCACGACTATAAAAAAAAAAGATACCGTTCCTATTAAAAAGGAGAGAAATTGTAAAAAAAAACTATTCTTCAATTTTGTTTGTGCTTAGCTCTCTTCATCCCTAATTTTGTGTGCTTTCTCCCCTCACTAAGGAAATTTGAAAAATACGTTTTTAAATTTTAAATTTTAAAAATACACCTTTTTATTTGATTTTTGAAAACTACACTTTTTGAAATATTAATTTACTAAAATAATCACAGTAAACTAAATAAATTTTATCTTATATATCGTTTTAAAATATTTTTTTTTTTGATGATAATATTATGTTAAATTGTATTTTTGATTTTAATCATAAACATGATCTAATTAACAAAAATTTCGATGCTATGAACAATATCTGATTTAATTGAACCAGTGATCCAAGACCAACCAATTTTTGTTGGTTAGGAAAATAGAAATTAGCTAAGTTTGTAGATTATAGACTAAACCAAACAAATTGACAAAAAAAATTGGTTCGAAAATAAAGAACCTAGATTTCATTGAATGTTCATTTCGCCTCTCTTTAAAAAAATGGTGAATGTTCCTTTTAATTGCCTAAGTTTTTGTTTTTTTAAAGATAACTAGATGATTTCCCACACCGTGTACGGGTTCAAAAATGCGGTGTGGGTTTAAATATATTTTGCAAGAATAAAATTATAATTTGCTATTATCAATAATTGTGATATTGATGTGAAGATATGTGTTATATAATGATTGTGTGTAGATGTAAATGTATTTTGTATTCATTATTGTAAATTTTTTTATTAGCTATTAGCTTTTTAATTAGGTTCATGTTCCACATTATGACATACGAAGAGAAAGATTTGATGGTAAGAGATTGAAGATAGATACAAAAAATTTTCTTTCACATACCATTTTTCAGTGTTTCTCAAACTCATTCAAATTTTCTCAAACTCATTCAAATTTTTGGCCAACATTNAAATTTCANTGTTNCTTTTTCATTTTATTTTGTTAATTTCTTATGTNTAATCGGGAGATTTAATCGTGAGATTTTTTTTATTATTACTTATCATTTGAAAGAAGAAACTATAACCATAAAATAATAGTTTTTAGAAGAATTTCGGAATGGTTGTTATAAACAAATTTTCTA